TTTATTTAACAAGGCTATTATTTAAAACTGAAGGTGAAATAGAGAGCTTCGCAGACAAAATAATCAGGCTAAATGAGGTCATTACCATCAAACCAACATGGCAAGAAAAGTTAAAGGGACTCCTTGAAGAAAAAGAAACTGAGGCAGGGACATAGGCATGCAGCAAAAAAGTGCCAATGAATATCAGTAATAATCTTAAATGCCCTTGCTGGTGTGGCTTGGTGGATTGAGTACTGGCCTGAGAACCAGGGGATGGCTGGTTCGATTCCCAGTCAGGGCACATGCTTGGGTTGCAGATCAGGTCCTTAGTAGGGGACATGTTAGAGGCAACCATACATTAATGCTTCTCTCTCTTTCTCCCACCCTTCCCCTCTGTCTAAAAATAAATAAATAAAATCTTTAAAATAATAATCTTAAATGTAAATGAATTAAATGCTTTAACTGAAACATGTAGGATAGCTAAATGGATAAGAAAACATAACCCATATAAATATGCTGTCTAGAAGAGACTCAGTACAAAAGATTTACACAGGCTGAGTATGAAGGGGTAGAAAAAAATATCCCATGCCAATGGAGATGAAAAAATAGCCTTCAAAACAGAGGCCATAACAAGAGATAAAGAAGGTCCCTTTATAATACTAAAGGAATCCACCCAATTAGAAGATAAAACCCTTGTAAACATATATGCACCCAATATAGTAGCACCTAAACATATAAAGGAAATCTTGGTGGACTTTAAGGAAGAGAAAGACAGCAACAAAATCATAGTAGAGGATTTTAACACCTCGCTGTAATCAATGGGTAGACCTTCCAGGCAGAAAAACAACAAGGAAACAACAGATGAATTTAACTGATATTTATGGAACATTTCACCCACAAGCAAAAGAATACATATTCTCCTTAGTGTACATGGAACATTCTCAAAGATAGACCACATGTTAGGATGCAAAATAAGTCTTAACAAATTCAAGAAGACTTAAATCATATCAAATATTTTCTTAGATCACAATGGCATGAAACTAAAAATCAACCTCAATAATAAAAACTAAAACATATTCAAATACATAGAAGCTAAGTACACGTTATTACGTTATGAGTGGGTTATCAATGAGATCAAGAAAGAAATCACAAATTACAACTTAACAGATACACCAAGACAAATAAATATGGCCCAAATGAAAGAACAGAGCAAAAGCTTCAGAAAGAGAACTAAGCGATGAGGAGATATCTGATAGAGAATTTAAAGCCCTGGTAATCAAAATGCTCACAGAACTGATTGAGCTTGGCTGAAATGAAAAAACAAATGAAAGATACCCAAAATGAAATAAAGCAAAATATTCAGGGAACCAACAGTGACAGGAAAAAAACCAGAACGCAACACAACAATTTGGAACAAAAGGAAGAAATAAACACCCAACTGGAACAGAATGAAGAAACAAGAATTCAAAGAAGATGAAGAGATGCTGAGGAATCTCCGGGACAACCTGAAACATCCCAAAACCTGAATTATAAGGGTGCCAGAAGGAGAACAACAACAGCAAGAAATTGAAAACTTTTTTGAACAAATAATGAAGGAAAACTTCCCCAATCTGGTGAAGGAAATAGACTTCCAGGAAGCCCAGAGAGTCCCAAAGAAGTTGGACCCAAAGAGCAACACACCAAGGCACATCATCATTACCCAAGATTTAAGATAAAGAGAGAATCTTAAAAGCAGCAAGAGGAAAAGAGAGAGTTACTACCTACAAAGGAATGACCATAAGACTATCAGCTGATTTCTTAAAAGAAAACTTCCAAGCAAGAAGGGGCTGGAAAGAAGTATTTCAGGTCATGAAAGGCAAGGACCTACATCCAACATTACTCTATCCAGCAAAGCTTTCATTTAGAATGGAAGGGCAGATGAAGTACTTTCCAGATAAGGTCAAGTTATAGGAGTTCATCACCAAGCCCTTATTATAAGAAATGTTAAAGGGACTTATCTAAGAAAAAGAAGATAAAACATATGAACGGTAAAATGACAACAAACTCACACTGTCAACAAATGAACCTAAAAGAAAAGACAAACAATGAAAACAAAAACTAAGCAAACAATAGAACAGGAACAAAATCAGAGAAATGGACATCACATGGAGAGATTTCAGTGGGAAGGCAGAAGGATGGAATGGGGGGGAAGGTACAGGGAAGAAAAAGCATAATTGGTAGGCATAAAATAGATGGGGAGAGGTAAAAAATGGTATAGGAAACAGAACTCAAAGAACTAATACGTACAACCCATGGACATGAACTAAGGGGGGGAATGCTGTAGGGTTGGGGAATGTAGGGCAGAGGGGGGATAAAGGAGGAGAAATTGGGAAAACTGTAATAGCATAATCAATAAAATGTACTTAAATTTTTTTTAAAGCAAATTATTAGGAAACAAATAAAAATGAATACAAAACAAACAGAAATCTATGGGACACAGTGAAAGAAGATCTGAGAGGGAAGTTCATAGCATTATAGGCCTACCTCAAGAAACAAGAAAAACTTCAAATAAACAATCTAACCCTACAACTAAAAGTACTAGGAAAAGCCCAGACTAAGAAGGAAATAAGCAAGATGAGAGTGAAAATAAATGGCATAGAGACTAAAAAAACAATTCAAAAGATCAATGAAACATGGAGGTGGTTCTTTAAAAAGAAAAGCGAAACTGATAAGCCTTTAACCAGAGTCATCAATAAAAAGAGAGGACCCAAAGAAATAATCAGAAATGAAAGAGAAGTAACAACTGATATCACACAAATACAAAGGACTGTAAGAACCTTTGTATACTATGAACAACTATATTCCAACAAACTGGACGACCTGAGCAAAATAAATAAATTTCTAGAAACACAACAATCTTCCTAAAATGAATCAGGAAGAATCAGAAAACATGGGTAGACTAATAACTAATGAAACTGAAGCAGTTATGAAGAAACTCCCAGCAAAGAGAGATATTGACCAGATGGCTTCACAGGCAAATGTTACCAATCATTCAAAGAAGAACTAACACCTATCCTCAAACTAATCCAAAAAATGCAAAACAAGGGAAGACTTCCAAGTTCTTTGTAAGAGGCCAGTATTATCCTAATTTTAAAACCTGACAATGACATAATAAACAAAACTATAGGTCAGTATCTCTGATGCATATAGATGCTAAAATCCTCAACAAAATATTAGCAAACTGCATCCAGCAATATATTAAAAAGATCATACACCATTATCAAGTGGGATTTATTAAGATCATACACCATTATCAAGTGGGATTTATTCTAGGGATGGAAGGTTGGTACAATATTCACAAATCAATAAATGTGATATATGACATACAGAAAATGAAAGATAAAGGTCACATGATCATAACAATAGATGCAGAAAAAGCATTTGATAAACTCCAGCACCCATTTATAATATGAACTTTCAGCAAAGTGGAAATACAGAGATCATACCCCAACATAATAAAAGCTATATATGACAAACCATGGCCAACATCATATTCAAATGGCAAAAACTAAAAGTGTTTCCCTTAAGATCAGGAATAAGAGAGCTGGGCGCATGCAGGCAGGCCACAGCACAAATAAGGAAACCAAGACCCTGTCAAGTAAATTGACTTGCCCATGGCTACACAGCTGGATTGCTTTGGCTACAGTGTTGACTGGAGACATTGGGGAGGCAACGATAGAAGGTAGAAGACCAGGAGTTAGCCATTGCACTAGACTCAATCTCCTGGGGGTACCCTCTCTACCCACTCCTTTTGCTGCTGGGTCTGGTGCACCAGAAAAAGATGCTACCTCTGGTGGAAAATGAAGAGCTGAGCCAGAACATAGTGGGCTGGACATACGGAAGCCAGGGCCCATGGGTGGAGGTGAGGCAGGGGTGGGCACAGATGAGCCTGCCTCCTCCTCCCTGGTCCTTCCTTGTGTTCCACACCCAGCTGGCCCATGGCAGTCCCATTGGTGGCATCACAGACTTTACCAATGTCAAGGAGCTGTGTGGCAAAATGGCTAAGGCCTTCCAGCTGCCAGTTGAGGTGATGTTCTGTACCCTCAACATCCACAAAGTGGACATGAACAAGCTCCTAACAAGCCAGATCAGGCTGGAGGTCTTCATCTTGGACCACATCAAGGGACAGTGTAAGGAGATAAAGGTGTTCAAGTTGGAGGAGGTGCTGGGGCTCATCATCTCAGACAACAGCTGGCTAAGCCTTCATCAAGCGCATCAAGGAGGGGAGCATCAACCACTACATCTAGCTCATCAGTGTTTAAGACATGATCAAGGCCATCAACAGGCTCAGCCTGCTGGGCAGTCAGCCCTATGAGGTAGCCCAGCTTCTCAATGAACTGCCCAGAGGTGTACCATCACAATGAAGCTTAGAGAACCCTCCAAAGCTTTTGACATGATCAGCATGTGTTCAGCGGGTGGCCATCCTCACTCTGGCTGGGAGCCCAGCTGGGCACTGGCCAAGGAACTCCTGGACTCCAATCCTGGGGCCTGCCATGGTAGACAACCTGCCCTTAGCCTTTGAGGAGAGGACAACTGAGAAAGAAGATGACCCGCTGGAGAATTACATAGGCATCAGTGACATAGAGTTGGGGACTACCATGGTGGAGCTTGGGAAGTACAAGGGGAACCTAGACAAACTGGCTGAGACCCTGAATGATCGGCTGGTGACTCTGCCTTGAAAGAGTTTGTCTTTGACTTCTGGAGCGCAACTGGAGATGCCAAGGTTAGCTCTTACTAGGGCTTTCCACTGGATCTTGTGATGATCTGATACAGGCTGGTGGGAGCTACTGGGGTAGAGACACCATGGACGAAGACTGCAGCATCTGGCCTCGCCTGGCCATGGTCCAGCAGTCCCAGGTTGATGTGGAGTGAATCTGAGGCCACACTCTTGCTCCACTCCAATAGATACCACCCCCTCCCTGATTCCCAGCCTGGCTCAGGTCCTCAGCTCCCTGCTCACCTCCTTCCTGTTCCCTACCTACCTCAGCCAGATTGCACAGCCAGCCCCTGCCCCCAACACTTTCCATATCAGCTGCCAAACTGGTTCCTCTGTCTCCCTGGGGCTTCAGATTCTATTTGGGGGTCCTGACCTTCCTGGTTTCCTGAAACAAGGAATACAAAAGGGGGTATCCTCAGCAAATGCAATAACACCCCCTCCTACCACCAGCACCATCATCATCCAGAGGAACTCCTACGTCCACATTTGAAACACAAGACTGCTGTGAACCTCTAACCTCTCCCCCCTACGCCTGTGTGTCTCTCATCCCAGCCTCGGATGGAAAGGGCATGAGGGACGATGGCAGTGGGCTTTTGTATGTGAATTTGCTGTCTGGAACATAAAGACTCTATCAGGAACAAAACAGAGATGTCCACTTCCACCACTCCTACTCAACTTGGTAATGAAAGTCCTAGCCACAGTGATCAGACAAGGTGATGAAATAAAAGAAAACCAAATTGGAAAAGAGAGTAAAACTGTCACTATTCACAAACAACATGATATTGTACCTGGAAAATACTACAGACTCCATTAAAAAATTACTAGACCTAATAAAGCAGCAAAGTAGCAGAGTACAAAATCAATACTCAGAAATTAATGGCACTTTCATACATCAAAAATGAACTCTCAGAAAGAGAAACTGAGAAAACAATACCATTTACTACTGCAACAACAACAAAAAATAAGGTAACTGCTAATAAGTTTAACCGAGATAGAAGAACTATACTTGGAAAACCATGGGACACTGAAAAATGATACTGAGGAAGATATAAATAAGTGGAAGCATATACCATATTCATGAATTGGAAGAAGTAACATCATTAGAATGTCCATACTACCCAAAGCAATCTATAGTGTCAACATAATTTCTACTAAAATACCAATGACATATTTCACAAATCTAGAACAAATATTTCAAAAATTATAAGGAACCAAAAAGGACACCTAATAGCCTCAGCAATCTTGAGAAAAAAGAACAAAGTTGGAGGTATCACAATACCAGATATCAAACTATACTATAAGGTCACTGTATTCAAAACAGCCTAGTATTGGCATAAGAACAGGCATATACACAATGGAACAGAACAGAGAGCCCAGAAATAAACCCATGCATTTACGGGCAATTAATATTTGACAAAGGAAGCAAGAATATACTATACAGACAGTTTCTTTAATAAATAGTGCTGGAAAGCTGGACTGGTACATGCAAAAAAATGAAAGTAGACTACCATAAAAATCCTAGAAAACATAGGCAGTAAAATCTCGGATATCTTGCATAGCAATTATTTTTGCTGATATATGTCTGGGATCAAGGGAAACAAAGGAAAAAAATAAAGAAATAGGACTATATCAAATTAAACAGCTTCTGTACAGCAATGAAACCATCAAAATGAAAAGGGAACTCACTGTATGGGAGAACATATTTGCCAATGCAACATCTGATAAGAAATTCATTTCCAAAATACATAAAACAACTTAATACAACTCAACTCCAGGAAGACAAACAATCCAATTAAAAAATGGGCAAAGGACCTGAATACCTACTTCTTCAAAGAGGACATACAATGGCCAATAGATATATATGAAAAGATACTCAACATTACTAATCATCAGATACCACATGAAATATCACCTCACACCTGACAGAATGTCTGTCATCAATAAATCAACAAACAACAAGTGCTGGCAAAAATGTGAAGAAAAGAGAACCCTGGTGTATTGTTAGTGGGAATCCAGACTGCTGTCACTGTTGAAAACACTACAGAGTTTCCTCAAAAAATTGAAAAGGAAACAATTTTTTTTTTTAAATAAAAGGGAAAGTCCTTTGGTCCAGCAATTCTACTTCTGGGAATATATCCTAAGAATCCCAAAACATCAATTCAGAAGAATTGTTCTTAGCAGCATTATTTACAATAGCCAAGATGTGGAAACATCCTATGTGACCATCAGTAGATGAGTAGATAAAAAAAGCTGTGGTACATGTACACAACTGAATACTATGCAGCAGTAAAAAAAAGAACTCTTACCCTTTGTGACAGCATGGATAGACCTGGAAACTATTATGGTAGGTGAAGTAAGTCAGTCACTGAAAGACTAATACCACATGGTCTTACTTATATGTGGACTCTAATGAACAAAGTAAATTGAGGATCAAAATAAAAACAGAGGCATGGACACATGTGACTACTTTGGGTGGGGTGGGGGGGGGGTTGAGACTGGATGAAAGAAGATGAAAGGATTAGCAAAAGAACATATATGCATGACCCAGGCACAAGGACAAAGGGTGGAGTTTGCCTAAGGGAGTGGGAGGAGGGCTGAGTAGAGGTGAGCAAAAGGGGAAAATTGGGACAACTCTAATAGCATAAACAATAAAAATATAATTAAAAATATTAAGTGCACGACAAATGCGTATTGGTTCATGAAGTATTTTTTAAGAAACAGGAGATAGTCTATTTTCAAAATACTGTTCAATTTTGTACTATAAATTCCTTAACATAGTTTCGCCAAAGCTCTTTTAAAAATTATATTAAACAAGAAAACTTCATAAATAATTAGAACTAGATGATGCTATACAGCAATTTTTGACACATCTGTGCTTAGAATTCTTAATAACAGCTATTAATTGAGGGGCTCTGGGCAAAATAAGAGACAAAATTCAGTTTGTCTATCCTCTGGGATAAGCATAAATGACCAATACAAATGAAATCAATCAGTGGTTGCAGAAATGAGGGAAGGAATAGAGAAGAGAGTCTGGTCACCTGTCTAGGTGTATTATGGGCAATGGTAAACAATACCACTGTATTTCTGCATAGAATTTTATAAAAATAAATATGGGAGAGAAGAGTTTGGTGTCTAGGACTTCTATGCAGATTAAATGAGAGAAACTAACATGTAGCATTTAATGGCAATTTACATTATTAGCACATCACCATTTTTATAACCATCTGTATGACCCTCACGGTAAGTAAAATTATTCATACTTTTACAAAAAAAAAAAAGACAGATTTAGGGAGCTAAAGTGATTTACTGAAAATTCACGTAGCTGGTAACCTGAAGGACAAAGTAAAACCCTTCTTATGCCGAGTGCAGTGTTTTTAAGTGCAGTATTCAAAGAGTATTCTAAGGTATTCAAAGAGTATTCTAAGATATTCTGAATTTAGGAATGAATTCTAGACTAAGCACATTTCACTTTTTTTCACCACAAATCATTTTAAGCTATCACAGAAATTTGTTCAACATCGGTTGGCCTTTCTGTTCTAACATAGGTGATCCAAGTCAAAATGCTTGAAGGAGTAACAAAATTTGGAATTAGTGATTCTGGCTAAACATGAATATCTTGAAAAGGTACTTGACAACACATAAGCAAAAAAGTAATAGATTGTTATTAAAAAGATTTACTTTAAAGATAGCTCAAATAGTATAAAAATGCACTTAATATGACCAGCAGCTATACAGTTGATTACTTTTGGTCTTCTCTCAACTCCCAAATCCTCTATGTCTCCTCCAGTCTCTCCCACCTCAGTCAACAGTCTCCCTACACTTTCAGTTTCCCGGGTCTAAAATCTTGTAGTCATTCCTGACTACTCCGTCCTTCCTTCTCAAAGTCCATATCCTTTCTTTCAGCAAATCCTGTTGGTTCTATCTTCACACTATATCCAGAACCCATGCACTTCTCACTACCTCCACATGCTATCTCTCTGGTCCAAGACACTAACAATTTTTGCCTGGATTATTGCAATAGCCTTCTAACTGGCCTCTCTGCTTTTACCCTTGCCCACCTATAGCATATTCCCACCACAACAGCCAAAGTGATAATAAAAAGCATATTAGACCACATCACTCCTCTGTTCTAAACCTTCCAATGACTCTCCAACTCCCTCAGAGTAAAAGCTGAGGTCTGCAATGGCCCACAAACCTCCAAAATCCTTCACTCCACCCATATTGGCCTCTGTGCTCCTTAAACATGCCAGGACAGCCCTGATGCAGGACCTTTGCATTTGCAGGTCCCTCTGCCTGTATGACTTGATACCATATCTCTTCCGAGTGGTTACTCGAATATCCCTTTTTTATTTCCAGAGTTCCCATTCACCCTATTTAAAATTGTAATGCCCTCCCCATCCCTAGCATTCCTATCCTCCTTCCCTGATATTTTATTCCTCTTTAGCACTTGTCATACTATAATTTGATATACAGTTTAGTATTTATTTTATTGCCTGCCACTTGCTCCATAAGGGCAAATGTATTAGTGTTTTTCATTCTGCATTTCTAGCACCTACCTATGGTGCTTGGCACATAATTGGTACTAAATAAGTATCTGCTGAGGAAATGACAACATAGTAGAAAGAATTAAAATGGTATACCAATTGCTTTTCCTTTTATATACAAATGAATCTTTTCCAAAAGGGCTGCTACGGATAAACTATTCCATTTCCTTATCTCAACATAACTGAAATGATAACAAAACCATACCACTTCCTTTTGCTAGCTTTGAGCACTGACTGGTGTCAAGACTCAGTGAGGAAAATTTCCCACTGTTTTCACTGCACTTACTTAACTTTGAGATACAAATTCAAAAGGCTTGTATAAGTAAATATCACTTCCCAAGATCTAAAATATTGCTTAAGGCAAACAACGGCTTATACTTTTTAAAAATTTTTATTTAGTTATTTTTCAAGTACAGTTTTTTGTCTATTTTTCCCATACCAGCCTCCCCCGCCCCGTGCTCCCCACCTCCCTCCCATTTTCACCCCCCTTAGTTCTTGTCCCTGTGTCCTTCCTATTTGTTCCTCCAAATCCCTCCCCTGTTTTCCCCTTAAATTCCCTTCCCTCTCCCCTCTGGTCACTGTCCCCTTGTTCTCTATTTCAGTGTCTTTGTTTTTATTCTGCTTGCTTGTTTTGTTGTTTAGCTTCCTGTTAAAGGTGAGATCATATGGTACTTGTCTTTCAATGCCTGGACTATTTCACTCAGCATAATGCTTTCCAGTTCCATCCATGTTGTTGCAAAGGGTAGTAGCTCCTTCTTTCTCTCTGCTGCATACAATTCCACTGTGTATTATGTACCACAATTTTTTGATCCATTCATTTACTGATGGGCACCTAGGTTGC